GCTGTTGTGATGGAGTTTTATTCATATATTTTCATTTGTGCAAGAATTGCTTCTTATGATGCTACGAAGCGATGCATATTATAATGGACAAAATTAATGATGATCACGAATCCTCTGGCATATATCCTTGTGCTTTTTTCCTGTATTCCATTGCTGGAGTTGGTATGTTTTCTGTTAATTTTCGATATATTTGAATCATTATTTACCGAAGGATTCGCAAATAATGATCGCAACAGACCGCATGAGGTAACAAATCCTCTTCAGCCGCTGTTATACGGCTTGACCATCTGGCAACGAGTCAAATTGGCCTGGAAATTTCTTGCATTGTAGGCGCAAAGTTGCATGTAGAATTAGCTCGTTTTAAATTCATTCATGTGATTGGATGGACCTGTACTGCTTGTTTTCTCGGACGCTTAAATTTGAATTCTTTCTTTGCTTATTTGCGTAATTCATATGTCCATTTGCTTGATAATGCTTCCTTTACTCGATTACATAGTTTTGTGTTGTTGTGATTGATTCCACTTTTATTTTATTTATTTACCTAGTCACTCAAATGAGCTGTCTGTTTCTTCATCTGTGCGTCTGGCAATTTTTGCAGTTGCTTTGACCAGTGCTACTCCGCTTAATGATCAGCCTACTGGCAGTTTTGACTTCCGTTTTACCCCTTTAATTTAGGGCTTTTAAAATGAATGTAAGGCAGTAAGGTAGGCGAATTTAGACAGTAATATCTTTTCCTTTCTCAATTCAGAAAGGGTTTTTTTTTCAAGCAAAAATTCCGTTCACTCATAAACGTTTTCTCAGGGTATTTTCAGACTTCTGCATGACACATAAGGCATAGAACTATAAGTTTAAAAAAAAAAACTCAAATTATTTTAAGATTTTTGCAGAGTGATAAGTTTTAGGATATACGAAATGGTTCATTTTGCAGATATCGGGTGAGCCAATAAGCGTCGCAATTGGTGTAGGCGCTGTTGCAACTTTGTTAGGAAGTGGATTTTTGAGTTATTTTACACGGTGTAAATTTTTCGAATGCTGCGATCGGAAGTGGGTGGAAGCAAACGATTCCGGTTAGTTGCTTTTTACTCCTTCTTGGCTCTTAGCATCAAATCCACTAAAATAGGCAGTTGGAGCGGTTTCTTGATATATTGGCCAGACCTGTTGCTTTTAGGTTTGCGACATGCGATGCGTACACGCTTGTATGGACAGCATCTTGCCAAGGAAACACTCATAACCGCTGCAGTGGCGCACTGGAACAATCCGTAGGTTATTTCTCTTCATTGGAATTCGTATCTATTGCTTAAACGTCTCATTTTCTCGCGTTTGACATCAGACTAATAATTTGTAAATAATTACAATTTATTTGAAATTTATTTTACTATGAATTTTTTTTTATTTTATTGTTTTTTCTCTTTTTTTGTTCAATCCATTTATTTTTTATTTAGTTTTTTTTTTTTTTTT